CTTAGCATCACTAGCAGTAGTAACCACTAGTGATCCCAGGCAGTGTCACGTGGAGGCGGCACTACATTGCTGCCCAACCTGTAATGATAACTAACAATATATATTAACACTAACTGAATGGGCTTCAACCTTTAACAGGAACTTGGTACTGAAACCTTAACAAAGAAAGGTTAATACATGACACTATTGATACTATACTGTAAGACCTTGAGTCTTTCAAACAGGAACATGGTGTTGATGTGTAGATGATGATAGCCTTACCTTAATGCAACCAAGAGTATGTATCTCTTGATATAACCTAACCATGTGTATATGGGTATGTATGGGCAACCTTATGAGTGCACTCATTATATTAGGGGAACATAAATTGGGTCACCTATATGAGGAACATGTATGAATTGGGTCCCCTATATGAGGTACATGTATGAATTGGGTCCCCTATATGAGGTACATGTATGAATTGGGTCCCCTATATGAGGAACATGTATGAATTGGGTCCCCTATATGAGGAACATGTATGAATTGGGTGAGGAGGCAGGGCTGGTTGTTATGGTGTTGTATCAGTAGCTTATGAGCTGTTGAACATGCCAGACACTCCTCAGTTGTTTGATGCTGATCCTAATATCATAGACTCTGTATTTAGAGGGTTACTGGGTCAGAGGCCAGGGCTCGTAGCCAATCAGAGACAGTTTGATTTCTGTCATCGGATTCTGGAAGAGTGTCTATGGGGCGTGGCTTCAAAAGGATTGGGAGGGACAGAGGAAAAGGGAAAAGGGACTGGACAATTATTTAACATATTCAAGAAGAAGAAGAGAACTAGTTAGCCGAATAATAATAACTAGTATTGTTATTATTATTAATTATTAATTATTATTATTATACATGATATATTGTACGTGTCATTATATACATACAGAAACCTGTATACATAATTAATATCATTATTTTTGTTAAGGGTGCAGGACTGGGGTATTTAGGTTTGCTTCTTTTTATCATTACTGAAATGGAACAAATGCATTAAAAATTTTACCTTTTAAAAAATATTTTTTACAATTTGATAAAAGGTTATAAAATGTCCCGTTCATTCTGTAATGATCATCCCTTCGACCGCCATATTATGATTAAAAAAAAACATAAAAAGGAATTGGTCTAATACGGTATCACTTGTGCGCATGCGTAGTAGATCATCTTTGAGTGCTTGCTTGCTGGCTGGCGTTAGTGTCTGTCGTCTGTTCTTCTTCTAATTTCTGCGGTTAGTTATCCTTATCAATCCATCTCTCTTATTTGAGTTTTGTGACGTTAATATAGACCTGCTATAGCTATTCCGTGTATATTGAGTTCTGGCAGGACTGAGTCATCGTGACAGTAAGCCTATGGAGGATTTTCATCGTTCTAGACGGTAAGCTTAAATGTATGACTATAGCTACGATTATGCTGCATGATCAAAACTCACAACATTTGTCTACTATGATAATTGTATGACTCTTTTGTTATTTCTCTAATAGGGATTGTGACCCCAGCACGTCAACTAGGAGGTAATGTGTATGATAGTCTCGCCCCGCCCCTTCGCTACCTGCGGAAGAAGGGTCTGGAGACACGGTAAAAATGTGTGCAATGAAAACCACGTGGTTGGCTCTACATAATGTGACAGAGAAGACCAGATCAGTCAAAACAGCTGAAAGAGATGCTTTGCAGCTAGAATAAGACAAGGATAAAGCCTCTTGGACATCTCTTGCAGATTTGAGAGCAGCAGCTCTTTACAGAGCGCCATAATATTTACTTTTTATTGATGCGTTTTATTGTAATCACGGGACATTATTATTACGTCATAAGTGCGATGGCGTCGTAGTAAGGAGTATAATAATGCTGCTCTTAAACTTTGAGAAAGAATTACAGGCTCTTTCCTTCCTTTATTTGGTCCTCATTCTTCTTTTGTCTTAAACAGAGCTCTTCGGTCACATGACTACTTGTCCTACACGTGGTTTGAGCAATCTGATTGGGACGTGGATTTCTCTGCATGAAGCACACATTTTTACCGTGAGTGTCTCCAGACCCTTTCTCCGCAGGTAGCAAAGGGGCGTGGCGAGACTGTGTATGATATGATATATATAATAAAAATTTAACGGTAAAATCAGTTTTTAAAAAATTTGACACCAGCTAATACCTTGTTATTGCTTGTGCTTACTTTACTTTGTATTAGGTATCAAGCCATTAAAAGAAACCAAACATGGAAAGGCCCTTTATCTAAGAAGAAGAAAGGCATTGGTATATTCTATTTTTAATTTTAATTTATTCTTTTTGTTTCAACATGTAGATTTGACTTACTCCGCGACAGACTTTAAGCGGTTTTCTGCCTTTAGGCAACTTCTTGTCACATCAAAGTTTCACTATAATAAAGTGTTCATCTCTGGCAATGTCTCTATAGATGATGACATTTTTAAGACGTGTCCATTAAATTACCCAACTAAATGCCTCAAGTTAGTTTATTTAATTTAGATTGTGTTTGTGGGATAGCAGGGACAATATTATTGTGTATAAGATCCTTTAATGGAACCTCGCCTTTGTTATCCAATATGCTTTGAATGTTGTGATGTTCATTGTTAACATGTATTTTGCATCTGGTAGTTGTAAGTCTGTGGGAGAGCGGAATGATTTGATGAAAGATTTGAAGAGCATTGCCTGGGAAGATTTAAGATACAGGAATGTACCTGACAATGTGGTATGTTTTTAAAAGATTTTTAATTTCTATTTCTAAAGATGTTTCATGAAATAAGTTTATGATGCAGGGTAGCTGCTAAAATTCTAGGTGGAGAAAACATTTTAATACTTAGAACTTTTTACGACCTGGGGGCGTAGCCTCCAGGTCGTCCTATAATTGATTTCACCCACGTGCAATGCATGATTGTATGTTAATATACTATACTACTTCTAGTTTTATACACATATTGGAGTAATAACAAGCCTTAGCAACCACCTGCCCACATTTATTTATGTAGTGGATGTGGTCACAGTAAACAAAATGGCGGCTTACACAGAACAAAATTATGCGCTTTCTAACAGCATGAGAATATAGAGATACTGTCTAAAGACTTCTTTAGAAGCATTAGAAAGTAGGGATAACCTCCATAAGTCTTAATAGGGACCCAGCTGTACATGCAAGGTGGTGAAAACAATTATAGGAATATTTTTACACTGTTACACTTGTTGTTTATAGCCCATAGGAATCAAGGGACTTGCTGTTAATTTGCGAAGCATGATTATAAGTAAATGTGACAATGCTTCAGCAAAGTCATTTACATACTCCTTAATGGAGACGGTGAGAGCTTATTGCTTGTGTTCTGCACATGGAGAGCATTGCGATATGTAAGTTTTATTAGTTTTTTTTTTTTTTTGTGTGTGTGTGTGTGTGTACGTGTATTTCTTTGGTTTTTGTAGCTTTACTCCCAAGCTGACGAGCGATGTAGGTGGCTTTGAATTTGCCGTCAACATTCAACAGTCCTTAACACAGCCGTCATTTGATTCATCCAGTGATAGCAGCAGGAGCCCAACGAACCGGATGCAGTTGAGAAAGCTGGATGTTATACATGTGGAGCCGGAAAAAGATGAAGTTTCCCCTAGTGAAGTTGATCACATTTCTGAGTCCAGGTGGGGTAATAACAATAGATAATAGTAAAGATTACATGCTTTGAAGTAGTAGTAATAGACAATTGTGAAGTTTAATAGTATTACACCATTTTTAACTGATGGTAATAGTAATTGCTTGTTACAGTAGTTCATAGTGTCTATAAGTGTGAGTGTGTTTAAGGTACATTAGTCATGGGCGGTTGCAGAAATTTGGTTTGACCTGGGCATCAATAATTAGTGGGTGTGGTTCCATACAATTTTGCAAGGAAAATGGAAAATACTGATCTATAACTTCATTGAGATGGATTCTTAGCATAAAACAACAAAGAAGCCTGTTGAACTACCACAGTTTATACTGGATGCCCACACCAGAATCATGAATATAATTATTGGTCAAAAAGTCAACCTGGGCATTGCCCCCTATGCCCAGGCCTGCAACCGCCTATGACATTAGTTAAGGTACCTGCAGCATTCCACCTCAACAGAATGCAATGATGATTTACCTTAAAGGCGGATTTACAATATTACGCTAGTCCTGACGTTACGTTGACGCTGGAATAGAATCTGGTTCTATTCCAGCGGAAAGCATGCGTCAAAAGGTCAAATCGCCCACACTTTTGATTAAAAATTGACGGTACGCTGGCCTAATGTCATATTGTAAATCCGCCTTAAGTGTCTATTGTTAGTAAATAGTAATATATTATAGCAACACTCTTTTCCTTGAGTAAAAGCCGCTGGTTCTGTTTCATTTTTTATCCACAGGAGGGAGGCAACTGTGATTATTAAAATTAGTATTACCCTATATATAACAATAGGATCAATATCATTGGCTAATATATAGGAGTTTACCAGTATTGATAGGATAAAGCAGCTACTGAAGTGTGACTACTCTGTGATTAATAGTAATTATTACTTGAATAGTATTAAGGGCAGCGGCTATTTTGCTGCTTATCCAGGCCCAGGGGGATGTATTTGAGGGAGGTACTCTAAAGTGGCCTTTACTCAAGGAAATACAATATATTACATTTGGGTTGTATCAATTAAGTAATATTAATTGTAGTAGTGTTAAATTTCTATTGCTTGGTATTACATTAATGTCTGGTCTAGTGTGCCTACTGAAGATTCAAGTCCTTCAAGTGAATCACCTTATTCATTTACAGAACCAGGGACATATGACACTGTTTTATTAGTTGTAAGTTGTCATTATTGAAGTCTCTTGCCCTGTCTCTCTCGATATCCCTTTTCTAAATTTCTGTGTTTTTATAATGCATCCAGCAGAATAAGCTTCACATGACTATTGAGTGCATGTCCTAGCTCATTATCAATAAATGCATGCATCACATACTGATTGACCCTCAATATTATAACTTGTCATTTCTCTGTTAATGTGTACAGTGTATATCGCTCAATATTTTAAGTAATTTTATCAATTTTTATAGGGTATTCCTGATGTTGTTTTTATGAATTGTCGACAATTCACCATTGTGTCTGCTGAGGTATTAGTAGATTGAAGTGAAGTGGCATGTATATGATTTTTTCCCTAGGATAAGCATGTGAAAGAACTGGTTACCATTACAGGGCCACAATCAAGCGATGTGGGCCAATTACTTTTTTATATGTTGGGCATTTTCATCAGAAATGTATCCGTTCAGAACAATCAACAGCAGCTTGGATTATACATTGAAGGGGATAAGGTCAGTCATTGTGCAGCTGATAGTATTTTATGTAGCTTTACATCCAATAGATTAGTATTACATATGGACGGATCAATCGAGCAGTTGGAACAGATGAGGCGACTGTCCATTTTTCTGTGTCTAAATTTCATAACATTCTTGATGGAGGAGTTCTGCAGTCAGTGTGTTTGGCTATATTTTCAGTCATCAACATAATCTTAGATACAAAGTGAAGGGAAGGAATGTGAAGTTAACAGTGACCCTTATTAATTATTCATCATGTGACCTTGTTATTACTTTTGGTAATTTGTGAAGTAATAATTTTTATCGCTAAAATAAGTTTGAAGTGTATTCATCTTGCACCTACATGTATATAGGCCAGCCCTATGAAACTTTTGCCATAATACAACTATCACTACCATCATTATCATCTAATGCTACCACCAGGTATCTTTCTTTTTGTACATTCTCTTTCTCAATCTCACTGTGCTCTTAGTTATGATCTAGTTCAACATCCAGTTTAGGCTTGTAGCAACAACTTAATGTCCTACAAGAATGAATGTATAAAATGCTGTCAGGAGAATCAATATATTGGCTTTGAAATACCCCTAACATGTCAGTAGTGGCAGTACTTTTAGCATCTCCATGCAGCCTAATGGCTTTGGAGACCCCAGGTAGCACCACGTGGAGGTAGTACTGCATTGCTACCCACCTAACTTGAAGAGAATTGAAACATGTTTAGTTTATTTTGAGTAAATATTTTACCTTTGCATTAAGCTGATGTTAATTTGCTGCAGTCGGAACCTTCCAAATTGAGTGATCAATTTATACAAAAATAAGCATAATAGCTAAGCAAATTATCATAACTATGTAAGTTTGAAGTCAACTAAATCATAGTGATTTCTTGCATTCGTATGAAACAAATATATATTAAAGTCGGATTGGTAATGACAACCTTCATTGTGAAACAGTGATTTAAATGTACACCAAGAACGATTTTTTTTTAAAATTGAGAGTACTGAAACATGAATCTTCAATTGAAACACAGTTGCAGCAATAAAAATTTCATTTTCAGAAGCCCAAGTACCAAATTGGTTTAATTTTTTATGTAGTATATGAGCCCTCATTGCACTCACAGCATTTTCTCTAGTGATATTATGCATGTGTGGTAGTACTAAGTTTGATAATTCTAAGGCATTGTTGGTCATAAAGGTACAAATTGTTAATCTAACTAACAAGTGATATTTTTCAGTCCCAGTTACTGCTTTAGAAATAGCTCTGTAAAAACAGTTGCCATCTCCTTTTATTTTATGACAGATATAAGGAGATATTTCAACATGTTTAATAGTTTTAAGTGGATCAGTACCTATACTAACAGTCTCCCCAGTATAATCCTGTATTAGTAAAGCAGCAGCATTCATCCAGTCTGTGGAAGGTGTTTCACCTATTGCTAGAGGCACTGCATCTTCAGATTTGATGTACTCAACATCGGGAGACTTACCTCGGTTTCTAGGATTGAGTGGGCATGATCGTTGGTGTGAAGATTTTTCAATACTGCAAGTACATTTAACACTACTGATTATAAACTCTTCCAAATCACTATCTATACCAGAGCTATTCAAAATGCTACTATCATTATCATCGAAACTAGAAAGTAAGCTTTCATCATCATCGCTATCATTTAATATTATATTACATGTACCCTGATCAATTACATTATCATCTATTATACCTGAATGGGCAATCTCTGTAGCTAATGAGCCACACTCACTGCCTAAATCTTGATCAAAATCAGTTATGCTTAATTTACCTTTTTTTTTACTAATCTCATCTCGTTTTGCTTTTCTTTTACGAAATGATTTAGGTGTTTCCTTACCATACGTGTGACATGTCTTATGTTGCTCGACCCATAATTTACGTGCAGCTTGTTCAGATTGCCTATGCCTTTTCCTTGCCCTTCTTCCCTTACATTTAACATCACACTGTTTGACTTTTAATAGAGACTTAAACCTAGAAACATTTAATGCTTTTAATGCTTCAGCCATACCATCGAATCTGGGTAAGCTCATTCTGTCAAAAAGATCAAGTAACCAATGGTAGGCTGGCCCTTTGTGCACATACATCCAGGACATGTTACTTTGTATAAGCCCAAGTGAAGTAGAAACATAATAGTGAAGCATCTGTAGATTTAAATTTTTGGTTCTAAACTGCAGCAATACATTATGAGATGATTCAATTATACTAGTGTGGCAACAACCTAACTCCTCGTGAATAATTTGTTTTGATTTATCAATAACAGCTTCACATGCAATCTCGTAAGCAAGACTATGGAATGGACAGCTTAAAATATTCTTAGTTTTATATGGCTTACCTTGACATGTAATGTCACTTTTCTTACATTTTCCACAATCACACACAGTTAAATCATGAAAGAAACATTTCTCACCATCCCATTCATGCACATTTTTGGCATGGTACTTAGCTAGTGAGCGAAGTCGATCTATAAAGGCTTGTTGGTCACAGCCAACAGACTTAACTATAGCAGAGAAGTTTATCCTAGCTGCTTTAATAAAACCATTAGTAAAACAACCAATGTCATCCTTCATGCAGTGACACTTTACTGTAGCAATACCAGGGTGAGTTTTTTCATACTTTTTAACTTGGCTTTTTTTTTTAAATTTTTGCTTAGCAAGCGTTTTTAATCGCTTTTCATGATTTCGTGCAATGTGACCACTACACAAAATAATCCTGCAATTAGGAAAATTAGAAAGCAAAGCCTTTGAAGAAGTACTGTCATTATCTTGTACGTGAATGCTAATGTTCATTTCATCAGTTACAGCTTTTTTAAAAACCCACTCAGCCCCAAATCCCTCTGCAGATTTTGATGTGCCTTCAAACAATTCTTCTCCTGTTATATCATCCTTACCTCTTTGACTGAAATGTTTGTAGTACAAAAGCCCACCAGTTTGATAGTTTCGCAGAGTATATGTAGCATTTTGACTATGGTAACCACGTGTCAACCATGCAGCATCACCACATGTCACAGCATTCTTAAAAGACCCAAGCTCACTATCATTCTTCTGCTTCATTGATTCTTTTGCTTGTTCACACATGTCATTTAGTATACCCTTGACATGAGGGTACATCAAAGCTAATGTCTTATAATAAATTGATTTTCCTGCACAGTACATACCAAGGGCATTTTTAAGTACTTTAGCATATTGAGAATACATTGCACCTGAACATATAAATGCAACTTGCAGGGCAAGACCAACTGCTGTGCAGTTCTCAGTCTCATGCTTAATTGAGCTCTCAAAAGTAACACGTCTCTCAGCACAACCAGTACAATCATACTGTAAAGTAACACAACCTTGTTGACCAATCATACTAACACAAACAAGTTTTAACTTACCATGACATAATGGCGTGGCACATTTGGAACTTAAATTAATCTGATCAATAAATTTACACATTTGGCTTACTTGACCCAAAAAGATTGAATTACTATTAGGTAGTTCACCAGAGTTGCGTCCTTCAGGAGTATCCAAGTTGAAATCAGGATCATATTTTTGAAAATGTATTGGAGTGACCTCCATTGTTCCATCTGAATCGCTTTGAGTCTCCCTCTTTGGCGTAGCTGTCACATCATCAAGTTCCTAAAATACAGATGAAAAATCAGTCAAACTGAAATAAGACTGCCTGATAAGTAGTGTATATATATCTCATAATTATGACATCATCCTTTGATGTGGTCAGGTTTATATTTTTGTATATACCTTAAGCCTACTATTTTTAGCGTCTAATAAATTTAGCGATATTAGCGAGAGAGCTTTAAATCACTAAATTAAATAGATGCCAAAATAATAATTATTGATTATAATGGTTTATTATTTATAGTTAATTTGGTTAAAAACGCTAAAATTAGTAACACTAAACATGACTTTTTGCTGATTTCGCTAAAATTAGTAGACGCAAATAATAGTATAGGCTTAAGGTATTTAAATTTAATTAGTCAATAATGGTGGCCGGGAGACCTTATAATGATAGCCCTCAGGCAGGCTTTATTATGATCACATCATTGGACACCCATCTCAGGTCTATATTTTTTGTAAATAGACCTTGGTTTATGATGTGATATCAATTAAAAGTGCGGGGTGCCAGGCTGCCTACCTCATTTCTATCATCATTGTCGGTGATAATAGTAGAGGAAGTAGATGTCACAGCTGTTGAAGATCCGGTCCTGGCAGTCCACCTAGCCTTGTGAAGAGCTTCAAATCTTTTACTTTGTTTCCTTCGTGGCATTTTTAAATTGTTTAATTAGCAATTCACAGTGTGATGAAAAACTTGTCATCAGACAATGAATTCTGTGTTTATTCATGAAGTAGCTGATTCTTTTGCTGCAGTAAGATGGCTGCATATGAAAATAATAGCTTCAGGCCTTAAAAACCTTTAATATTATGAAATTAATAATTATAATTATTTATTTTGCAAATGAATTTTTCTTACCAAAAGAAACACAGAGTTTCTTTTGATAAAAACAAATTTCATTTTAATTTTTCGCATTACAAACTAAACATTAATTAAATTCCGAATTATAAATGATTGTATCATTGAACACTGAAAATGGTCTGTGCATTTATAAAAAATAAATTTATGAACCAAAAAAAATTAACTGAGTTGCAATTTTTTTGCAAATGAAGGAGAAGTAGACTTTCGAAATCTGTGACAGCATTGTACTAGATGACCTATTGAAATGACTAGAGTAATCATAGGGGAAACTAATAATCAAGAATATATAACATACATTAAGATCTATTAAAATACAATATCTCTAATCATAACTCTGAAATTGAGACTGCACCCTTAAGACATCAGACACCAACTTCATATGACTGATATCTGTAATGCATACAAACAGTTGGTAATATCACCTACAGTAGACCCACCACTTCATTAGCTGGTACCAGAATACATGCAATCATTTATC